CTAGGCATCAGGGTGCGTGCTGAGAACGAAGGAGGCGGCTGGGCCGGAGGAAAACTAACCGGGTGGGCGGGGGAGCTGCATGGAATCAGGGTATATACGGGAATGGGGCGGGAAGGAGGGGGAACAGGACTTCCCTGCAGCCCCTGCCCCACCCGCAGTCTTCTCTCCCGCTCCCCTCCTCCCAGTTCTACTCCAGTCTAGAGGGAAAGCTGCCCATGTACAACACCCGCATCAGCCTGCCCCTTGCCCGTCCCAAGGACAAGTTCTTTGGTCAGTACGGGTAGGAAAAAAGGACGGGTCTGGTGGCCCAAGGGGAGCAACGGGAGGTGGGAGGTGTCCGAGGCCGGGATCGGGGCCAAGGTGAGGTGGGGTATAGAAGGCTGGGTAGGGAAGTCTGGGGTAGGGAGGGGAACCTGGACCCCTTATCCCCACCCCCACGCTCGCAGACGAAGAGGAGTCCCAGGACGAAGACAACGACGTGGTGACTCGCGCGGAGCTCAAGATCCGTTCCCAGAAATTAATCGAATCCCGAAACAAGAAGCGCAGTCGCTCTCGGAGGTCCTAGACTCGCCCCCGGGCCCACCTGGCGCCTCCAGGCCCCCGCGGAGCTCCCAACCCCTCGGGGCCCAGCCACCGGCTCTCGGGGCCTCTCCAAGGGCTGAGCGCGGCCCGGACTGGGGAGCAGAGCCGGCCGTCGGCGCGTAATAAATATCCCCAGGCGGCCGCGCCGGCCTCGGAATCACAAAATAAAGGTCACGGACCAGCCTCCTGGTATTTGCCTCTCCTTGACCCTGCACCTCCCCAAAGACCGCTGCTTCTCAAACTCAGGGCCACCGGCTCTGCCCCCTCCGACCTGGGGACTGATGACTCCCATCAGCTGCGAGCACAGATTGTGCTCCCTGCGCCCCTCCAGAGATACGCCCCACACCTGGGGTGGACCGGCGCTCCCCACCTGAGGACAGGGCTTTCCACTTGGGCGCACAGATCTGTCGCCGTCTTCGCTATACACAGTAGCTCCCGCATACCTGGGACACGGAAAAGAACCCTCCCCCGGGGGGAGAGGTGGCCTCTCTTCTGGGCACAGGTTAACACACACCTATAGGGAGAACCTGGACCTCACCCTGTGGGTCTGGACTGGGTGCTGGGGTCCAGCTGGGGGCATCCGAGAGCCGTGGGTCCCCGTCG